AATGTTACACTTGAGCACCTAGTAGAACAGATATGTAATCACTAGACATACATGTTTGTATTTCTAAGTTACTGCAAAATAGTTTTTCCCTTTTCATAGTAAACTCACTTCACCTACAGAGCGCGTTATGGGAAATGCATTCAGCTCTACAGGTTTGCCTTACATCACTACCTACAAATGATGTCTCATTCTCCACAAGATTATATCATTCTCAGTCACACTTCCAAACACATTACACATACAGCACTGAAACCTACTGTATATATAGCATAACAGATACCCTATCCATATTCATGTACAAAGGATAAGCTATTCAGCTGAGAACTAACTACTTGATACAATCTATATTGCTACAGATGTTTAATTTTGAAACTAAATGATCCATAGGTGCAGTTCATGTAGTTATGTAGATGTATAGGAATTCTGCACTTTTTAAATGCATTACTACAGAAACTGGAATGAGCACAGGAAATGAGAAGTGTGCACACAAACTTGGGTCTTCCAACCTGCATGTAAATCTAGACATGGTATCTGTACTTCATGTTTAGGGGTACCACACCTTGTTTTTCCAGCTGGTTACTAATTAGCAAGAATAAATACCCTAATGTAATTATTTAAAAAGTTCATCCTAAATTGCTCACCTGACCTGTGCTCGGGTGAAGTACCCTTCAAGCTTCAATTAAAGTTTTTCATCTATGTTCATGAAGAAACTAATCACTGATTAGTCTAAGTATGATCATTTGTATCTGTGTGATCAAGTATGATGTTAGCCAATAAAAAAGTATTTTAACTTCATAACAGTTAATTAAAAAAATGCTAAAGATATTTTGATGCTGAAAACAATTAACTAAATCATTTTGGTCCTGAAAAAAACATAAATGTCACTGAGGTGTTCAGAATATAATATACTAAAAGAAAGCTGACAAGGTCAGCTGGGACCTTTACTTTAAACTCAACACAAGACGAGGGAGCCTAAACGTAAATTAAGACTGTCCACACTATTAAACAGATGTTGAGAACATTAAACAAGTCTGCTTTAAATCAGCTCAAAGTACCTACACAACTCTTGCAGACTTTTGTTAAACAAGTAAATAATTATTAAAAATGAAAAAAGCATATATTGGGAAAACATATCAGTGAAAAAATAACTTATCTACTAAATCTACTTATCTGATAAATAACATATGTACTGTACTTTCAGTATTTTCAGTAGGAGAATACAAATTAAGTAGTAATGAAGGTAAACATCCACACACGATTTAGGAATACTGGTGTATTAAGAAGCAGTTTTGTGTAAAGTGCACATATTCCTGATAACCACATTAACTGAACTGGATGTGTTGTATCCACACGAGTATCAAGTATGGTTTTACACAAATGTTTTCACTCTATACAAACATGTATAATATGGTCTAAATGACAAGTGATAGAATTTGAAGACTGAAAATTAAGAACTTCTTTACACAAAGGCTTATGGGCTCCTTGAAGAAACTGCCAAGTCATTCTGTGCATGCTGAGTCACTGGGAGACATCAGGTATAGTCTCATTCTTCATACTACTAAAAACCAGAATAGCAAGATGGGTTTATTATTTTTAACAGATTAGTATAGTTTTGTAGACAGGTCTGTAAAAAAAAAAAAGATTTTGTTCAAGTTTTTCTTCTTGAAACAAGTGAACTAATACTCCTTGAATCAATAAATAAATTATGATCAGGAAATAAGCACAGAAAAAATAAATTTTGACGTTAGTCATTTAGATTAGAGCAGATACATTGAAGGTGATGGTGATGTTTGTACTTCATAAAAGACATTTCTAAAGCTACTTTCACTAAAGATATTTTATGCACGTAATCCAATATATATTTAACTCAAAATCAAAGCTGTTACAGAGAGATCATTGTTAGTTGACTGGTTGTCGGAGTTAAATATAAAAATGTAAGCATTATCAAAAACATGAAATCACTGTTTATAAACAAGACAGGATTCCCAGTCACAAGACCAATGAGGTAAGCCTACTTATTGTACAGATTTTGTTTATGCTCAAATCCATTTTGATAAATAAGTTTTTAACGCTTTAAATAACAAACCCTGAGCATATATACTATATTTACAAAAGGAAACGGTCAGAGATTAGAAAAACCATCTAAATAATTTTTTGCATAAACAACTTTTTATTTTTACTTCCATGTAGTGTGGTCTAAGTTTCTTTTGTATATGTGTGTGTTCTGGGTATGTTTTGTGTGTTTGAATAAAATGTTTTATTGGTTTCCTTTCTAAATTATTACAAGAGCAGCCATTATTTTACAGAAGTGTCTGGAATACACGTGGATGGTAAAACTGCATCCTGCCTTCTTAAAAAGTGCACTTATCCAATGATTCAATGAAAAGAATAGATGTGTTGTTTCACATGCCAGATCTAACAATTTAAAAGGCTACAAAAAAAACCCACAGGACTGCAAAGCAGTAGCCCTTCTCTTTTAATCACATACTTGGTAACAGTATTCTCTACAAGCAGTATTACATCGAATTCTTAACCCTTTGCAGTCCTGTGCCTGACCTGGTCTGACTTATCCAACTACATTTCTGAAGCTGATGCCCTGGCTCCTTTCAATAAAAGGCAGGATGAGAACCTTGGATCACTCAACTACTGGCAGCTGAATGAACTAGATGGGCTGAATGACCTCCTCTCTTTTATAAACTTCTGTATGTTATTCTAATAATGTAGTTTCAAGTCTTATATTAGATGTGATATGACATTGCCAAGCTACCTCTTTAACAAGTCTATGCCATTTATCAGTAAAAAAAAACATACTCAATAATTACTCAAGACCAAAGAGTCCCACTCAACCCTCAACCAAATAAATGGAATTCAACAGGTTGAAGATCAATGAGCTAAATAGCTCACTTAAGTCCATTGTCTTTTTACTCTAGGTGAACTTACAATATTTAATCCTTTCTGCTTTAAGACTTAATATACATTTAATATAGACTTAATATTTAATTTAACTTTGTCTACTGCCAAAAGATGCACAATATTTAAATGGAAGATCCACTTACTCTATCACAATGGAAACATCCATGTACAGTATATCCCTTGAGAACACAATGTATAAACTCACTGGCATCTGCTTGATCAAATTTGTATCCCTAGTTAAAACGCATCTACGCTTGTGATGAATTTGTCGTACAACCTTAAATATAGAGACCTGGTGTTATAACTATTATCACTATATATATATATGGTGTCCTTTCCCTGTGTAATGTCACTGATAAGAGTACAAACAATGTCAATTAAATGTATGCACTGTTATTTACGAATATTCCAAAAATGAGCTAAATAGGTGGATGGACTCTTTAAAATAAAACACTCTTAACTAGTGGAATGTTATTCTGTAAATTATTTTTAAAAATTCCACCTCCCATGCTGCAAAATCCTTTTGTCTCAACTGATTGCTTCATCTTTTCAGTTCCACAGGTCAAGACAGAGTATTAAGTTTAATTTTAATGTAAAAGTTTTGCTGTCTTTTTCTTTCATTTTTAGATGACAATTAAGACAGCTTACACAATATAATGGCAATGTTATACTTATTTAAACTAGATTAACTACTTGGCTTAATGAAGAACTAGTTAAAATATAATATCAGGTATAAATCAGGGAAGCAAGTTTATTAATAATAAATCAAAAGGTGTAATTCAGTAAGGTTAATATATATATAAATTATTCAAATAATTACATTGCAATTTAAAAAAGTTTCAGACGTATTTTTTAAAGCCTCGGCAGTTTGTATATTTTCCATTCTACTTGCCTGTCCAGGCATTAAGCTCTAAATCGAAAAAAAAGTACTTCAATACATTAAAGCATTTGTGACTCCTCTGAAGGGAACCAAAATAGAAATGTCTGTGTACGCAATTCCCATATGATACCTAGACTAACTTCTTTTCATAGCCTCTGAAAAATAAGTCTATGTGAAGGTTCAAGGATTTATAAAGTGTCACCTCATAATTGATTACTCCTTGTAGGGCAATTTGTGTGGTATTTTTCAAACTGTAGGAGTAAAACACACAAATGTTTCTTGGGTTTCTGTCCTTGGAGGAATAGAGCATGTTAAGCAGTGCTGAGTTTCTAAATGTAGTTCCGTATAGACTGCTGTTCAAAACGTACAAGAGTTCACTGTAAATTGCGAAGCTAATGCATCACCATCAGGAGCAGGGAATCCAAGTTAATATGTACATTAAATCCTAACCTTTCAACTCTGCAAAGTAACGAAACAGAATTTCCTGTGCAGAGATACCACTCCATTCATAATCAATCACAGCTAAAAAGAACATACAGTCAACATTTTTAATTACAGCTGATGCACTCTTTTCTGCAACTCCCCATCTGTCAAGAAGAATGTTTAAAATTTAGCGTTATTAGTCTTTATTTCCAAATGGGTCTGGTTAACATCATGGAGTCTCCAGAGCAGAAATCATTCATCCATCAAAAGCACACTGGTGCCTGATAATTCCTATCCCTCTGTGGAAGCTACAGATAACCACTGCCCCAGAGACTTGCTACAGGATCATAAATCAAAGCGCACAGAGCTCCCAAGCAACCTGGGTTAATTTCTATTTACAATAAATCCCAGGAGAATGTTGGTTTGACACTCCAGGAGCCTGTTTAAAAATCAGATTAGGTGGAAATGAAAAGACCAAGAACATTATAAAAAATTCAGCATCCTGTGTTTTGTGTAAGTTAAGAATATCAATTTTGGTATTCAAAGCTAATAGATAACAGATAATTATTAGGTATTATTTAATTTGTTAAAATTAAAGAAGCTGTATTATAATTTATTAAGACTTTTAATTGGTTGTATCTATTTTTATCATTTTTAGCAGCAACGTAGATTCAATCAAGTCTTTAGAACTTGCAGATATACTAAGGTCACACAGTCTATGTACTTATGTACTTATGTACTAAGACTTATTTTTAATCTACATAAAAAAAAATAACCAACTTACTTTTATTTCCCACCAAAGAAACTACAGGCTGACATTCTGCTTCTTCATTCACCTTCTTAACCACAGCAAACCAGTCTTCCAAATTTTCAAAACTCTGATAATTTGTGATGTCATAGACAAGAAGCACACCCTATAGTGAATAAAAAAAATCAATACTATTTACATTCAATAAACGTTATTAATAAATGAAAAATAATATAACACTCATACACTGTGTTACTGAAAATAAAACTGAAAAACAAAGATATTTAATTATGGCTCAGTTTATGTCAAGATTTCAACACACCTGCAAATTAAAAACATAAGCATTAAATGTGCATAAACGGCAGAAAAATATACATCTACAATAAGGCCTAAAACAGGAATGTATGGAAAGGTTATTATGAATAATAGAACGAAGAAAACTTATTCCCCTGCAATCTCGTTACAATGATATTCAGAATTTTTCTGTTCCTTGTCCCAAGACATGTTTTTACCTAATAAAGTGGATTACACAAAGTAAAATACAGTGTGCAGAACTCTGCAGTAGGCCTATGGAAAGGAAAACCCAGCAAGTAATGGATTAATTTGCAAATGTCAGGTGTGTAAAGTTCAGATTAAGACCTGACCCACTGTCAAAAACAAGATAACAACCAAAATGCTGAGATAACACACACAACTTATGACTTCAATTGCAAATTAAGAACATTTTTTTCGTCAGTAGTTATAGTTAATGACCCAAAATTCTCTATTCCTAATAACTTAAGATCATAATCTTATCTACCAATTACAATGAAGCAATATTTTCAGCAGCTGCTCAAATCTGTTGAAGATAGTTAAAATACCAATAAATTGTATATTTTTATATCTCAGACTGGGTAGAAAAAGTAATAGCTTGTGTAGATGAAAATGAATGTGCACATAATATTTATAGAAGAAAAGCCCATTTATCTAGAACTGATTTTTTGTGTTGTTTTTTACCAAAAGCTCATTAAATAACACTTTATGATTATACAGTAGGTGGCGCCTGTAGCATGAGAAGCAAATTTCAAGGGAAAACTAAAAGTCTAGGCTTTCACCTTCTTTCGCTACATAAATTCTTATTCAAGCCCGTTATGCAAATTGTTGCTTTCAAGCACAATAATTCCTGTGTATTCCATTGATGACTTGTAAAGGGCTACACGCTAAACTCAAACTGATCAGTTAGAACATCTTGAGCTATGGTAAGCAATCCCCTTAAAATACTAATCTGCATAGATATTTTGTGAGTGTATGAAACCACAAAGCCACCTACCTATCACAGTCTTCTAGTGTTTAAAAAAGCCTCATTCAGCCAAACGAGCACTTGAGTCATTTAGCAGGACAAGCACAAAGACAGAGCCACACAATCATTTCTATTATACTCAGACCAACTCTAAAATAACTGGACACAGACTTAATGGATGTTATTAGCAGTGTCGACTACTTCTGTCCTCCAGCTGCAAACCTTTAACAGAACGATGACGTATATCCTTGCTAATATATGGTTCAGGTAAGATAAAACCCACAACAAAGTTTCAGAAAATGTGAAGCCAGTTACACCTTATTATTTATTATACAATGGTGCTAATTATTTCTGGCATATAGCTTGGCTATCTTAAATTTGTTTTGTTTCATACATATTCATTCAAACTTATTCAGAAACACTTGGATCAATCAGAAAAAATACACTACAATGTATCACCAAGATACTATGCTCTCCTAATGTGCAGCTTATCTTACATCATAGCTCCTTGTATGGCCTGTTTTGTTTTACTTCCTGATATGGTTAAAATATATGCACTTACACATCTATCATAAATATTTGTGATTAAAACCTGGCAGCTGATGAGGGAATTTTGTATAAATGAGGGAAATAAATGAGGGAAATTTAATCCCCGAAGACAGATATTATAATTTCACAGTAAATCAAATGAAATGCAAATACAAGCAGTACAAAGCAAAGCAGATTTAGAAAACAACTGGCAAGAGAACACACTAAAAATATTTTTAATACAGCTGTATTTGTAAAATGATTGTTTTTTTTACAATACCTGAGCTCCATAGATGTATTTGTCCAGCATTTTCCCTCCTATTGTTTGACCTCCAATATCCCATACTTGCAGGGTAACATTTAGGTTCCCTGAGGGGGAAAAAAGCAATCCATAACACAGTACTTTCACCAACACCAAGCAATATCAAGTCAAACCCTGCAAGACCTTTGGAAAACAAACGTATTATTTTGTTCTTAATGTAATGTTATTAAGGTGAGTATATTAATCTAGAAAAAGAAAACACTGTCAGACCTCCTATGCCCACTACGAGCAGAAAATATTTGGATTTCCCAAGAAACTAACATTAAAAACAAAAGAATTTCATAATTAAATACCAAACCGCAACAACTCTAGAAAATACTTCAAAAAACCGTAATGTGTATATAGTATATATTAAACATAGTATATAAATAAAAACTGTGTAAGTATTTGATTTGACTCAGTTAACATTTAAATAATAATATAATATAATTATTTGAATAATATACTGTAATTTGAGTGCCTTCTCTGCAATAACTGCAGTACATTCAGGACCGCACCTTGCTATCCTGTACACTGCCTCTTACTTCTAAAATCTGGAGATTGAAACATCACTGGCTTGCCTGTATGGGTGAAAACATAACTAATCTGTCACAAAGAGCTGTGATCCACGTTAGGCTAATTACGTAAATCCTAAATTTAGTGAAGTACAATACTACATCTTATCTTGCTTACATTTTCAACAGAAAAAAAAATCAAAACATTATTCTTCTCTTTCAATCCAAAAGTGTGAATTATCAGTTATTCACAATTAGTTACTACACACCTGCACTAACAACGAAAAAGAAACTCACCTTATTATAGCTATAAAGAATAGCATATATTTTAAAATTCTTTTAAACCACCGACCAAAATTCTACAGGTAATTCCAGATATTCTGTGTGACGTACAATATTCTGACAAAGACAGAACTCAAAGAAAATGTGAATTAAAAAAAATATAATTATATACAAAATAATCCTTCCCAATTTGTAGGAGAGCTACAAAACCAAATTAAAATAAATATTTTCTTCCTTTGGAAAAAAAAGAAGACTACACAGTATGTAGTTTATATTGGTCAGATTTCTAACCTCCATTGGGACACAGCAGTGATCCTGTAAAGTATATTTGGCTCATAGCTACAAGCTTGCTGTAAGTGCTGTTCAGCCAAGAAAGAACTAAAAACATTGATTTGGCCATCATGCACTAGGATGTAAAAAGTAAATCCTTTCACACTGAACACTATTTACTGGACACTAACCAAAGGGCTCCAAGAAGTATTTTACACTACATCTTAAGAAACTGTCTGAGCAGACTGTCTGATTGACAGTGAATTCAACAAGAGGACCAACTTGACATTCACTTACATTTATAAAGGAAGGGAAATTTTCACAGTGAATACATCTAGACTATACATCATAGCTAAGCTGGATGAAGGGTCTGCAAGGAATCTCTACCTAATACTATTTTCCTTGGATAAAATATCTACATTATTAATTTTGTAAATCATCCATTCAGACAAATGATTTATTATGAAGTCAGTTATAACATTCAGTTAAATGACAGCAACTGTGAAAGAAGTGACACTACAACTTTCTTACAGACTAGCCTCACTGGTTTTCTTTTTTGTCTTAAAAAATTTTGAAAACAAAAATGGGTCATGGTTATGTTTTCTTTATTATTTTTATTTAAATGATTTGAATCTTGCATTTACAAGATATTTTGAGCTATCATGCTATCTTAATAAACACTTTTGGAAAGGCAATCACATCATACAACGCTATTACTATTCTAATACTCCATAGACATATGGAAGGATGCAAAATGTCAAGCCTTTTCCCATGAAGGATGTGTATTTGGTACAACAATCAAATATTTTTTAGTTTTTAGTTTTCCCTAAGGCCTGAGTCCCAGTTAACTAGCAAATTGCACACCTGAAAATGCCCCAAAAGCCTTAGACTCTAAAATTATACCTATGTTTCGAGCTACCTGACCAAACAAATTTGCCAAACTCTTAATGACCCCATGGTACTGGAGACTATTTGCAAAGGTGCAAACCACAGGCAACTTTGGTTCTTGACAAAATCTGATTTCAATTCAATGTAGTAGCACCCAAAACAGAAGCTGACATTAACGTGGAAACAAAATGGTAGACAGGTAGACATAAGTATAAATTCTAAGTTGCATAAGTTTATGCAAGAATACCAAATCATTATATTTAAATTTATTTCAATTGAATAACATCTGCCAAATTCATAAACAAGTGGAGCTACAGGTCACATATCAACACTGAGCAAATCAAAACAGTAGTCAGGCTCTCATCTTGGTTGAGGCAGGAACCCAGTTTTGGTAGTAAATTAAATGGGTTATTTATGCCAGTACAACTGCCAAGTTTGAAGTTGCAGCTACATGGTCTGTGACGATACCCAGTTTGAAAAATGGGAAAAAAAGAAAATACAAATGCTGTTGACTTCTACGTTTCTAAGCTTAATGACCAGATGCAAGAGTAAAGCAAACTTCATCATTTCATCGAACAAGCAAAGAATAAAAACAGTGCAAGGCCTGAGGCATAGTGGAAAGAAGACAAGCAAATACTGGACTGGATCTGAAGATCCAAAACAACCTTCTAAAGATGAACAAAGGGTAATTATATATTTGAGGATATGTTACGGCAGTAATATTTCTGAGTCTAACATTAAATTATAAACTTAGAATTAACTGAATGTAGAAATTGGAAAAAAAACAGTTGGAAACAATACTGTCGGTAAAAATAAGTATTAAGATTTATTTGATATGCATTTAAATGAAGGCATTTTCTATTATATCCTCTGTGATAGGCATTTTTTATTACATTCCTAGTTGTCTAGGACACATGGTTTTGCATCTACCATAATGATCTTTCATCTTTCTCTGTATGTAAGAACCTAAGATAGAGAATTCCCAAGAAACACGTCTAAGTTAAATTCTCAAAATATCTGTCTGCTGGTCAGCACAAGTATTACAGATGCTATGCTAATAAACGTTTGAGGTATTTTTTTAGGAATTCTCACCTGGCATGTTTAATCTTTTCAGAAAAAAGTCCAGTCCTATTGTTTGTTTATACTGCTTCCCAAAAGACTCTTGTGCAAACCGTGTGGCCAGAGACGTCTGAAATAAAAAAAACACATATGATTGAATTCTATAACATTCACCGAAAACATTTCAGATTGAAGAAGTAAAGATTTTCTAGATAGCAAAGATGGAGAAAAGGAAAATGCTCACTGTCCTGATTAGCCTGTACGTAGGATGATATACGTTTGTGATATGCCTGTAGAAACAATCACAGCTCCACACCTATTTTTGCACTCCTCTTTAAGCTGTCCAAGTGTTTGCAAGTGTCCAAACACATAGGTTCACCATTTGTAACTACAGTGATGTATTGGCACGGTGCAAATGAGAGGAAATATTTCTACATTGCTGGTAGATACTTTACAACATGAAATGCATTCATCTAAAACAACCATTTTAATCCAAAGAATAAGTGAATGAAAACAGCTAGAAACAGTTTTTTAAATGGGTTACTAAATTGCAAAACTATACAAAAAAAAGAAAATGAAGTTTAATGAACTTCAATCACAATGTCATGTTATGTTGTTGTTGATGGTGCTAGAATCAGTTCAAGCACTCAAGTGAGGAATCTCGGGGTAGTTCGAATCGTGGGGTAGGCTCGAGCACTAAATGCAAGGCTCGAGTCTTGCATTTAGTGCTCACGTTCATGTTGTGAAGGTGTCTTTTTTCTTCTTTGTAACATTGTGCTTTCCCTTCTACAACTCTTGTAGTCTGATGCAGAAAAGCTAATTCACACTTTTTGAAGCTTAAATATTATAATGTAGTGGTATATATCCAAACACATTCTTAACAAATTGCACGTTTAAAATTCTCCAAACTTTAATCAAAACCAACATTTCAGGACAAAATTCAGGACAAAATTCAAATACCCCTGTTCACCTTTTTAGGGCTTTAATGGTTTGACTACATCAGTTACCTACACACCTAAATATAATTTGGGCTCTTTAGATTCTGACCTTGTTTTAGTTCCCAATACAAGCTTACAAACACTGGGAGACCATACTGACAGTTCTATTACTCCAGGACTATGGACTCATCTCCCAGCCTATATCTGATCATCCATAAAATTATTACTTTAAAGTCCCGTCTTAAAACTCATTTTTATACTCTAGTTTATAACTCTTTAAATGACTATAATGTGCAATATGTCTATACCTGTCTACTTTGTTTGATTTTTGTACAGCACCTTGTGATGACATACAGTGAAAGGCACTATACAAAATAAAGTTTATTAATTGTAAAATATTGAAAGGTGGGTGGCACAGTGGGGAGTGGTTAGCATTGCCTTCCTTGCAGTGTTTGGGGCCATTTTGCGTACGTTTCCCCCGGGTGCTCCTGTTTCCTCCCAGTCAAAAGACAAGCTTGTAGATAAACTGACTCTGTAAAAACTGAGTGTGTGTTTTTGTCTGTGTGCGCCCTGTGTTGGACTGTAGTTCCTGTGCAGGATGCAGCCTGCCTTGCACCCACTGCTTGCCGGCCTAGGCTCCAGCTCCTCCTGTGATCCTGTACTGGATAAAGCTGGTAGGAAAATGTAAAGGCAGATGGCTGATGCTTTAAAAGAACATTTCATTTCCAACACTGACTAAGTTCCAGTCTTAGGAAAAGCACATATATGTATTATTACTTCAGGTGGCTTACACCCGAAGAAGGCTCTACAGCCGAAACATTGTGTTTTCTTTCTTCTCTTTTCAGCATGGAATAAACCTATTACTTGTTCCTTATCTGTATTATTATATTAGCATAGAAGAGGCAGAAGTGTTACTTGAAGCAATTAAGATAAAAAAAATTCCAGGTACAGGTCAATTGTATTTCAGGTAAAAAGAGATTCCAATATTAACTATTACCCTTTGACTGATAAATTGCTAATGTAGCACCCATCTATAAAAAAAGATGACAAAACTGAACCAAGGAAATACAAATAGCCCTTTCTACTATTACGAATCAGCATGGTAACATGATTCGAGAAAAGTTAACACAGATTTGGAAAAGGTAGGTCTTGCTTTACTAACTTACCAGAGTTCTTTAAACAAGAATCTGCAGTAATCTGCATATTTAGATTTTAAGACAGTGTTTGATTTTATCAGAAGATCGAGATCTACTGGTATAGGAAGCAAATTAGTCAAGTTTTCAGATATCAAACAGGAGGACCTGCAAAAGCAATTCAGCAAGATTTAGAATTAAAGATTCGGTAAATAGCTGGCTGATGGCACTCAATGTAGATAAATATGCAAAAAGAAAAACAAACTATAAATGTAAAAGGGAAACAAAGTGTGACTAAGCAATTCATGAACAAGACACATCATTTAAGGCCTATGTCTTCCAGAAAATGCAATAAAAACACAAACAGAATCTTGGGATAAATAATTAGAAGTGAACATTTTAATATAACTATAGAAATATCCCACAGCCAGCAGAGGAATCCTACTATGTTGGGCTCCTGAGCAAGGCCCTTAACCCCAACTGCTCCAGGAGCGCCATACAATGGCAGACCCTGCGGTCTGACCCCAGGCTCTCTCTCTGTCTGTGTGTCTCATTCAAGCAGGTGTGCGAAAAGATAATTCCTAATGCAAGAAATTGTGAAGGGTTAATAAAGTGATGTTAAATATAACAAGAGATGTTATATTAATTTTGTAGAATGCACTTATAAGACCCCAACTGCAATATTGTGTACAATTTTGGTCACCACATTCAAAAAAAGACACTACTGCTCTTAAATCTGCCTAGTTAAACTTCTGGGTTTAAAGGAATGTTCTGTTCTGACAGACTAAAAGAACTCAGTCTTTTTTTAGTTTTGAGCAGAGAGGACTATAAAGGGGCTCACTTCAAGGGCTCAGAATTTTCAAAGGCATTAAAAAAGTGAACCCAATGGATCTATTCAGAATAAATGAGTGAAACGTGAACTAAAAGCACAAATGTAAAGTAAAGTAAAGGGGAAGTGCTTTTAAAACTAAGAACAGGAGACACTTCTTTATAAAATAAGTGTTGTGCGATTATAGAATAAGCTACCCAGCAATGCTGTCGATAGCAATTCCACTGCTTCTTTCCGTTAATGTTTGGGCGTGTTTCTCAGATCAATAAGATACCTGCAACCAAACAAGCTACAAAGGACAAACTGCCTCCTCTTATTTTTAAAACCTTGACAAAAGGGGGCCACCTGAGAATTTTGTTTCCCATACAGTAATTACTTCATTATGGTGGTTAACATAACTGGGGGTCATGTCAAGACGTCTTATGCAAATAGACGTTTGATTATGGTCATCAAACTCCAGGCATTTAATATAAGCACCACTAAAATGAGTAAACCTAAATGGATTAGACCATTTTACACATGAATATAGATAGGACTTGGCAAAAGATTACATTTTCTGATGAATACCCATTCTCTTTCTCATACTGAAGAAACAATAAAATGTTTACTGAGGTCAGATTAAAGAAATATTGTTTTAGCGGTGGCAATGTAATGGTATGATGGATGGACCTTGTTGTCAACTTCAAGTGTTTTTAATATTCCTGGTGTTTATTTGCTGCACAAAGTTTCAAATATGTTGAAAAGATTGTATGCACCACAAAAGAGCTCACCTATACTGTATGTGGGAAATATTACTCAAAACTTCATGCTTCAATTTGGACTTGAATTTTGGTCTAAGTGCAAAATCTCTCCCAGTGTACTGTATGCCATATCATTAGTATGATTATATCACAGCTAATCACACAAAAACACTACAGACCACTTGCAAATGATGAAGAACATCACAGTCAACATGTATAGAAATAAACCTATTTTTTATGTTGTTATGTTTTTGTTGAATCTAGATTTGTGCCTCTACGATGGATTAGTATAGTTTGTCTCAACCATATCTACAGTATATCTGCACAGAGAAAGATGCTATAAGATGTAGGCAGAATAATTGGAATAAATAACATTATACGTGTACAGCATGGTGGTGAAGCTTCCTTGCAATGCTGGGGCCCTGGGTTCAATTCCTGAAATGCTGTACACATGGTGTTTGTAGGTTCCCCTCGTGATCGTGTGGTTTTCCTCTCAGTGCTCTTGTTTCCTCCCACAGTCCAAAGACATACTGGTAGGTTAACTGGTTTCGATAAAAACTGAGTATGGCGTGAGTGTGTGTGTGTGTGTTTGTGTATTAGTGCCCTGCGATGGACTGGAGTCCTTTCCAAGCTATATCCTGCCCTGCTCTGACTCCCCCTGCAACAATGAGCTGCATAAAGCCAGTAAAGAAAATGGATGGGTGGCACAGTCCTAAAGCCATTCAAGTACTAAACCAGCAACACACAGTTGAAAAGAAATTCATTTTAACGGTTGCTGAACTGTAGTTCAACCCGAGATTTCTTTTGTATATTCCAGAACACAGTAAAAAGCAGAAATAACAATAAATACAAGACAAAGGTCGTTTCATTGCACTAAAATAGTCCTACATTCTCATAATTGTTTTTACCAACACTACTTAAAATAATAAAAGTTTAATTAAAAAACACTCAGGATTTTCTCCCAGAATCCTGAAGTTCTTAAATTAGTTAACTATGGTAAATAACTATCTTTTTAGTAAAAAAAAGAAATTGCAGCTTCAGACCAACTAGACTAGACATTATTTCATTTCTTTCATCAAATTAATATTTAATTGACAGATTCAATTACCACAAGTGTTCTTTTCCAATCATTGCAGTACTATCACCGTTTAAGAATATAGTATAACATCTCTAAGTTAAAACACAGAATGAAGCACACAGCAAAAGTCATAAAATTAAACTGGATAGTTAACTTAAAATATTCTGGAAAAAGTACTGAACGACCACATTTATCTTAACTTTATATACTAGTGCGTGTAAATGTAAATAATACATGGAATATACCATAAACAATGAAGGTATGAATATTGCTAGCAGAAAATATAATTCTCTTCCATTTCACTAATTATATTATAGCTAATTATTTAAACGAACAAATGCGTGTGCGTTTCAAAACAGATTATCGTTACAAAAACTACAAAATAAATTGCTGTTTAATATATAGTATAATT